TCTCTCTCTCTCTCTCTGTGTGTGTGTGTGTGTGTGTGTGTACACGTGCGCGCATATGCACATATATATGTATGTGCGGGTTCTGGAGATTGCATTTAGGTCGTGAACCTTAGCAGTAGGCAGTTTTACCCACTAAGCCATCTCACCAGCCCAAATTTTTGTTTTGTTTTTGGGACAAGGTCTCAGTGTAGCCCAGAAGTCACTGTATATTCTATGCTTGCCTTAAGCTCAGAGCATTCCTCTCTTTTTGGTCTCTCAAGCACCAATATTTGAGACTGTAAGATGTGAGGGCAGAGTGCTCACCCTCCTGGGTACATGTGGGTCAGGCTTGGAACCAGCTCTCTTCTGGCCATCTGTGGTTTTCAGCTTCTTCTCTGCTGCACCCTGGCCACAGTCTGTGTCCACAGTCTTCAGACTGGAGCCTGGCAACCAAGACTGGGGGATCATGTTCACTCACAATGCTCCAGGAAGCACTGAGAACTGCGCCCCACAGCAATGGTGGACACAGAGGTGCCTGTTATTTGGGCACCTTTGGGGAGGTGCAGAGTCTAGAATGTGCTCTGCCCCTCCCACTGCTGCACACCATTGTCACATCCAAAACCCAGATTCCTCTGGAGGGCTCTGGATATGGGTGGAGGGATAGATGCTTCAAGGCCCTCCCTGCTAGCCTAGTCTCTCTTAAATTACATTTAAAAAATATTTATGTGTTGGACTCAGTGATAAAGAGCACTGGCTGATCTTCCAGAAGACCTGGATTCAATTCCCAGCACCAACATGGCAGCTCACAACTGTCTATAACTCCAATCCCAGGGGACCCAACACCTCACAAAGACATACATGCAGGAAAAACACTAATGTACATAAAATAATTATTTAAAAAAATATTTATGCCAGGTTGTGTGCATGGAGTTTGCAAGAGTCAGGCCTCTCCCTCCACCATGTGGGTCCCGGGATTGAACTCAGTCAGCAGGCTTGGGAAGCAATACCTTGTACTCGGTGAGCCGCACCACCAGCCTAGCTCCTTCTGTTTTGAATGAATTGTTGGGTTTTCTTCCTGTTTCCTCCTCAAATGTGTGAGGAGAAAAGCAGTCCCTGATTTTGCATGTGACAGGCAACAGGAATCTGGTTAATTGGGGTTTATTTCTTTCAGACAGGGTATCACTATGTAGACTTGGGTGTCCTGGAACTCTGCCTGATTCTGCCTCCTGAGTGCTGAGATTAAAGTTGTGCACCATTACAACAGGCTTTATTTAATTGGGATGCTGACCTCTTTCCTCTTTGGATGGGGAGGAGAAGGTCCCTCATTTCCTGCAGTCTGTTAAATAGGACAATGGCCTTTGTGCTTATGACCCATAAAGCAGGAGGCCTGTAGATGTGACAGTATGAACCTGGGAGGAAATGCTGAATTCTTATCAACGATGTCAAAGGTCATGAGGAAGACTGGTTGAGAACAGGAACATTGCAGAGCAGGTTCTGGAGGAAAAGGAGGGTCCGTCGTGTGTCATCTTCCCTTGGGGGAGGGAACCACATTTGTTCACTCCCTCTATATACTGGCCACATCTGTACTTCAGAGCTGTTATGTAAGGTTGGCACCATCACTTCCATTCTACAGACAGGAAAACTGAGTCCCAGGGAGGTTAAACAACGTGTACAGTCAAAGGCAGAGCTGTTGGTTTTTTTGTTTTTGTTTTGTTTTTTAACCCTTGAAACAAGACAAGCACAGACCCACACTGGTGGTTTGGGGCCAGGGAGCACTTGACCTAGAGGGTACAAGAGAGGGGGTGTTGGCTACAGGGAACGCAGATAGAATCCTCTGATCTGCTTGTTCTGGATTAGAAATGCAAATACTTGAGAGAATCGAGCTTCTTTACTTCTGTGAGAGATAAGCTCTGGCCTCAGCCTAGCTCTCAGGGCAGGTGCTGTGTGAATGTGGAGGGTTAGCAGGGTATGTGGGAGGGTGTTGGGAGACTGGTGGCTGCTATGGGTCCCAAGTCCCTTCCACAGCAACCTTAGAATTCCCACCAGCACACCCCCTATCCTTGGGCTCTTACTGTGTTACAGGGGTGTTGCTGAGTCAAAGCCAGCAACCCCAAGGCCTGGTGTGCGCCCCCCCCCATCTGCAGGTGGCCCAGTCACCTTCTTTGATCCCCAGCTCACTGTCCCCCTCTCTGTCCTTTAGATGGGATCTATTATGGAGACAGTCGGTTCAACACTGTGAGTGAATCCGGAACAGCCACGCTGAAAGCCCGGCCGAGAGTCCGGCCCCTTCTGACCTTCCTTCCCTTGGTGAGTGCGTTCAGTGCCCAGGCCTGAGCTCCCAAGTCCACTCAGGGTGGGCACCTCGCCTGCCACAGATGTCAGCCTCATCCTGTCTCCCGGCTTCCTTCCTGATGCCAACCCAGGGAGGCTGCTGGGAGGAGGCAAGGTTGAGCCTCAGGAAGCCTGGGACTAGGGAGAGGCACCTAGTGGTGAGCAATAACTCTGTGCACAGCGGGATGGCTGTTGGCTTCCTGCCAGAGCCTGGGTGCAGAGGTGGCGTAGTTGGCACTGCTGCTTTCTGTGCCCACTGTAGGAGATACCACCTATTAGAATGTCAGCCAGCCAGAGGCAGCCAGTGTATTTACAATGGGTAGTCAAGAAGGGCTTCCTGGAAGAGGTGTCATCTGAACTCCCTCATCTGACAGAGTAGTGACACTTGGGAGAAGGGCATTCAAGAGATTTGTTTGTGTGTATGAAACTACAGGAAACTGAAAACTCTCATCTTTTGTTCCAAGATAGGATCTTGCTAGGCCCGGCTATCCAGAAACTCGCTATTTAGATCTTTAATGACTTTCCTGCCTCTGTCTCCCAGGTGCTGGAATTACAATTTGCCCAGCAAAACACAGTGCATATTGTGTGTGCATATATACACATATGTGTACATGTATATATGTATTTATTTTTATTTGTATGGGTGTTTTGCCATTATGTACGTCTGCATACCAGAGGCCAGAAGAGGGTGTCGGAACCTTTAGCGGTGGCGTTACAGGCACTTGTGAGAGGCCATGTGGATGCTGGGAATCAAGCTGGGTCCTCTTGGAGAGCTGTGAACCATCGCTCCAGGCCCCAAACTGACAGCTCAAAGGCCAGAGTTGGGATTTTGCTCTTTGATAAATAAAAGAAACCCCAAAGAACTACTCAGGAAGCCGGGCGGTGGTGGCTCACACCTTTAATCCCAGCACTTGGGAGGCAGAGGCAGGCGGATCTCTGTGAGTTCGAGTCCAGCCTGGTCTACAAGAGCTAGTTCCAGGACAGCCTCCAAAGCCACAGGGAAACCCTGTCTCGAAAAACCAAAACAAAAAACAAACAAACAAAAGTGATCTCTGAGGCTGGGCTGTAGTTCAGTTGGCAAAATGCTGGCATGAGGCCCTGGATTCAGTCCCCAGCATTACAAAAAACAAAAACAAACAAACAAAATACCCAGGACTGTTTGAGCCCATCTGTGATCGCTGTACTTGGGAAATAGAGGAAGAAAGTTGAGAAGTTAAAGGTCATCTTTAACTGTATAAGGAGTTTGAGGCTAGCCTGGGCTACATGAGACCTTGCCCCTCCCAAAAAAAAACAACAAAAGCATCCTACAGACAGACACAGAATTGTCCCTGCAAACAATAAGAAAAAGCACAACAAAAACAGGACTGTTCCAGGACTGCCAAGGCTATACAAAGAAACATTGTTTCGAAAAACCAAAAGGAAGGCCCGGTGGTAGTTGCACACCCCTTTAATCCCAGCACTTGGGAGGCCAAGACAGGTGGGTCTCTACTAGTTCCAAACCAGCCAGGACTACATAGTGAGATGCTGTCTCAAAACATAGTGAGATTGGGTCTCAAAACAAACAAACCGACCCATCAAGATTAATGCTAAAAGCCTAGCAGTGGTGGTGCACACCTTTAATCCCAACACTCCGGAGGCAGAGGCAGGTGGATCTCTATGAGTTCGGGGCCAGCCTGGTCTACATAGTGAGTTCCAGGACAGGATCCAAAGCTACATAGAGAAACCCTGTCTTGAAAAATCAAAGGGAAAAACCAAAACAACCAAAATCCTGGCCACATGACTCCCTGAGATGTGTACAGCTGTGTGTGAGGGCTATCCTACTTTAGAAGTGAGTTCCAGTCTGTGCCCGCACTGATTCATAGCTCCACTGGGGGATGGTGGTGTGGAGACTGCTCCACATACCTGCCCCTGGACTGGTCCTTCAATCATGACCTCAAGACCATGATTACAGGGTCAGTGAGGCCCCTCCAGTCTCCTAGTCTCCCACTCACTTTGGGCCTTCCGTGCTGTTATTTCCCTCCCCCACCCTCCCACTCCCAATTTGGGCAGACCCTAGGGAGGCCAGTGGAAGATTCAGGACAGGTCTGGGTTTGGAGGATTGCTCAGGATTGGGGTACTAGGGCCTCTTGGGGACTTGCCTTGGGAGCATTCTTTCTGGACAAAGCAGGAAGGCCCCACTATGGAGAACGGGAGAGAAGACACATGTCAAACCAACAGCTGAAGCCCGATTAGGTCCATGGGGACATCCTTTACAGAGCAGGGAACTAACTGAACCAGAAGGGGACATTTACCACATTCCTTCAGTGCCGGTCAAGTGAGGAGTGGCAGGTGGAGCTGCCTGTCTATCCCACCCACTCTGTGATCGCTATTCCAGAGATCACACATATGAACAAAGGCAATCCCTTCCAAAACCCTTGCCAAAATCCATTTTACACCCAGGGACTGTAGTCCTGAGATAGGATATAGCCGGCTTGCTTATGGTCCTGCAAAGCCAAGACCTTAGAGCCAACGCCCCTCAGACTACCCTAACCTTCCCTCCTCCGTGCTGGTAGCTCTTGTCAGGACCCCACACATCCACTCTCATCTCCATGGCTTGGCCCCTTCGATCCCAGTCCTGTGGCCTCTTGGCTCTTGGACCCTTCAAGGTCTTGATGAAATGACTTCACAGAGTCTAAGATGGGTCTTAGCTGAGGCTTCTCGGGCCCCACTGAAGCCCTGTCTCTCTCTGGTGTGCTTTAAATTCAGACCCCTTGGCCTAATTGCAGCTCCGATCCTGCTTCAGGTTACGGGTCTACAGTAGCTTCGAGCATTGTCGCTCACCACCTGCTCTGGGAAAAGAGCCGTTGAGCAGCTCATTTTATCCTATCTGATCTCAGACCCCTTCCATAGCTCTGGGCTTTCTTCCAGTGCCCCAGGTGTGTGTGGGCTCACACACATGTACAGACACCGGCCCCCAGCCCCATGTCGGTGTGGGAAGGGCCCTGGGCCAGTGCCTGAGCCTGGCCCCTTCTGCCTGACATTGTATTAAACCTCTGAGGACCTCAGCCCTTCCCTACCCTCCCACCTGCAGAAGGCACACCCAGGCCAAGAGGCAAGAAAACAGGTGACAGGTCCAGCAAGGGTTTTTGAGCTCTGCCTGAGCCATCTTCCAAATGTCCTCTCATCTTCAGTCCCTTTCAAGAGTCAGATGGCCTGACTCTAAGAACTTTTTTCTCAAGTGTCCATAACTAAAGGCCAAACATGAAATTGACCCTTGGGTTCTTGTTGACCAGACTGGGCCCTGGGATTGATCATCAGGTACCTGTCCCTCATGCCAGCCCTGCCTTGGCTTGTGGAGTGATAGAGAGGGCAAGGCCTTTATTCTCTCCAGGCCTCTGATTCCTTGCCCTTTGATGGGGTTACTGTGAATGGTCCTGTAGGTGTCCCAACTGTGACTTTCTGTGCTAAGTGATTCTATAATGGCACAGGAAGGGGCATGGCAAACTTATACAAGCTCAGGTTGCTTCTTGGAGATCAACCTTCCTGGAGGAGGTCTGCTTTCTATCCACCAGGTCCACCCACCTGTCCTGGGGGCTGGTTTAAAGCCACTAGACAGCAGAAGTGTGTGGACCTCAGCCATCACCAAGATGAGAATGTACTGCCAGCACAGTGCTGCATGCCTGAGATCCCAGCCACTCAGGAGCTGGAGGGAGGAGGGCTGAGAGTTGGAGATCAGTCTAGGCTACAGGTAGCAGGACCTTGTTTCAAAATAAAGATAAGTAAGAACTGGGCTGTGGCTCAGTAACAGAACACTTGTCTAACATGTAGAGTACACTGGGTTCTCTCCCTGGTGTGGGGTGGAGACTAAGAACACAGAGATCTGGGCCTGTGAGACAACTCAGTGCATCAGGCTCTTGCCGCCAAGTCTGACGGATGGCCTGAGTCGGATCCCTGGAACCCACATGGTAGAGGGAGGCAGATGACTTTTCAGAGTCATCTTCTGACCTCGTGAGTCATTTGTGTGCATGGCACTTGCACACGGAATAAATAAATGTGATAATGATGATAACAATAAGAAAAAACCACTGGACGAGATCAACAGGGGCCAGGCTCCGTGACCCAGACCTTTAATCCCAGTACTCGAGGCACTAGTGGGGGGATCTGAGTTCCAGGACAGCCAGGGATCCACAGAGAGACCCAGCCTCAAAACAGACAGAGCAGGGTCTTTGCCACAGGCCTCTGGAAGAACAGTCCCCTCCCTACATCCTAGGGGAGATGGAGCCCCAAGCTCTATGCTTCCAAGAGCTAACCTGAGCAGTGGCTGACAGAAAAACTGTACTACCCTCTGGGGTGACCTCCCCACCCCATCTGATCCGGTCATCCCCAGGCTGATGCTTATGAGAAATTAGAAGTTAAATTCCCATGTGGTAAATACGGGCAAACTGGCTGGACAGGTCTGGGGGTGCCCAGGGCAGTGAGAGCTCCCCAGGTTGCCCTACCCTCTGAGTCACACAGGCCTGGCCTTGCCAAGGGGAGGCATCCCTGAGTTGCAGGAGAGGCCTGTCTTCACCAGGCCCCTCCCTCCAGTCCCTTTGGTCACCTGGGCACTCAATGAAATAGCTGAAGGCAGCTTCAGCCCTATGGTAGAGCCTGCCCAGCCATTTTGGGAGCTCATTCCTAAACTTGAGGCCCAGAAAAGGCAGTGCAGGTTTGACTGACTCACGTAGGTGATGTTGAATGGAAAGGTTATGGGGTAAGAGGTGTCAGTCCTGCAGTGAGAGTAAAGTTGGAGCTTATGCCCCGTCCCCACCCACCTGACCCTGTTACTCACAGGAGCCCCAACACAAACCCCCAGAGCCGTCTATACCCTTGCTCTTACCTATAAACAGCTAGCTGCCTCTTGGCTAGCCCTGGGGCTCCTGAACATGCCCCACAGTGGCTGCCTCGGGAAGGATGACCAGGAAGAGAACAAGTTAGAAGTGGACTCGGAATTTAAG